GGATATGGTTATTTTCCTTTCCAAACTATTGTATATCGCATGAAAATATACATAATACGTACAACGAAGCGCCTGTTTCACCCTTTCGCGCTACGTCCGTAACAACGACCACCGGCTACCCGTGTGCTCGTCGATATTTCCCATTTTTATTATTAATCTACAGCCTCGTTCGCCCTCGCTTGCTCGCCTTTTCTTAACAGAACGTACTTACACCCGTCCATCCATATTTAACGTCGTTCTCCGCCACGTGGGATACACTTCACCCTTCCTCCGTCCTAGGTAGTCGTTTTATCTTTGAGAACTAATTGTTACTGAACATGCGGTTGAACTTCTCCACGCAGAGAGGAGCCGGGAGGCCGGAAAGTGTTGTCAAGCTGAAACAGCTTTTTTCCCCCCACGGCTTTTTAAAAGCATCGAGTCGTGGATGACGCATCAGGTAGCACAACACGCTCCTTCTCCCTTGCACTCTCTCTTTACCTCGGTACCGTCGTCTAGCGAGCGTGTGCACGGTAAAAAACCGAGTATCGAATGCTACCGCATGAATAAGTCCCTTTGAAGTTTCCACCACCCACGGCTTCGTTCCGAAAAATCTCGCAGCTTCAACCCCTTTAAAACGACGCGTTCTCCGTGTCGACTACAGGTCCCCTCTGCGCGCCTTTAAGCTGAGTTCACACACAGGTGCGACCAAGTTTATCATCCACCCCTGTGATGCTTTCGTTCCACGGAACAACAGACTGAAACAGGAAGAGAAAAACGGTGAAAGAGAGATGCGGAGGTGGTGCACGTGTTTGAAAGTGTCGCGTGGGAGACGGAGGTTTTGTTCGGAATTCCAGTAACTCGTCGCGTCGCTAGAAATATTTGTCCGAGATCTGTCGCGCTAGCCACCGAGCTTCCGTTTCGTACGAATTAATTATAAAGTACGAACTAACGGCATTAGCGCATGCCACTACCAACTTTTGCATACCATTAAATTCTATTTATGACCGCGCCGACTCTGACTGAATTCAGCACTTACCACGCGCTTGATTAATTTTCCATTGCCGCGCCGTCGGGACTGCAGAATCTCGTTGAGTATCTGTGATTTCTTATTGATCGAAGGATATTTGTAAATGTAGCTTCTTCGTGGGAGATTTGACGGTGCCTAAAATTTATATTATAATTAATAATTGAATAATATAATTGACAATTACGTATGATTCATAAGTAATCCATAACGATAGTTGTAGAATTTATTAATTGTATATGTATTTATGTACAGTTTATTGATTATTCTATATATGAGTAAAATTTGGAACAGTGTTAATTAATTTTAATGTTTCGTTCATTGTTAATAATAATGTTAAACAGTATAGTAGTATAAAATGTTTATCAAAATTGGGAATGGCCAATTAAATATACATTAAAAATTAATAAATATGAACGTTTCCAACTAAAATTCAAATTGTCGTTACAAAAGAAAGTAGTTTTTTATCGATCGCGTATCAATATCAACGTGATATCAATACGATGTTGTGGAAAGATCAGAAGAGCAAGCTAAGTATTATAATAAATAAGCAATCTGTTTATATTTTGCTTGTCCATCATTTGTATTGTTTCCCTTCTTTTTTTTATATTTCATACAAACAACGATTAACTTTTTATTATACTCTGCTGGAGTTCCATGGAAATCATGTTTCAAAGCGCAATTTAAAATAGTGGAGTTGCATTGAATACTTATTACTGCAGTTGAGTAAGAAACATGGAAAGTGTAACAGGAACGGTAAAACGCGATACAGTACGCGCACAAAAGAACTCATTGTAGAGGAAAAGGAGTACTAAAAATAAAATACGATGGAGTATTATTGCAGAAGAACGCCATTGTAAAGGGAACGTTCAAAGAATGTTAGGTGAAATAACGTTATGTCGAAGCAACGAGTGTATCAGTGTTCGCACAAAGATCGATGCTTTTCGATCGATCCGTAATTTTTTTTTTTTTTCTATTCTGATAACAAGTCGGCACGACTCAGACTTGAATATTTAAGCAGTTTAAACTGAGTCTAAGTCAGTAACATTTCTATACATAAAGAACCTACTGACTATACCATAAAGTAGAAATTTTGTAAAATATTCATCGAAATTAATCGGATGGACACGTGCCTTCTCCTGTCGAAACATTCGTGGCATTCGAAAAAGATTCTCGATAGTTCGAAATACAAAAAGAACGTAATTCTATACATTCAACTCACCTAAGAAGATATGAAATCCATAAAAATGTAAAGAATCTGTCAATCGATCTAAATCTATATTTGAGGAAGCGAAATTTCATATTGGAAAATCGATTGTTCTATTATCCGAAAATCCCATTATCCGAACAATTTTCGTTCCCCTATTAGCTCGGATAAGGGACGCTCTAGCGAATTATAATAAATCAGTTCTCAAAACTGCGAGTTCTCGTCAAAATTATCTACAAACCATTTTCCGCTACATTATTATGCATTTATTTAGCTACTGTTTGCAACATCATCACGTTTCTTTATTCAATTTATATGGTCGACCCTGTATGATTGCTAAACGAGTCGTACAATGTCGTACCTCGATAAATTTGAAATTTTCCGCGTCAGGTTCGGCGGTACGGAGAACAGGGGCGTAGTCGTAAGGCCACTGCTGTGGAAGGCTCACGTGCCAACGAGCGATTATTCGCAACCAGGTGACAATGATTTATGTCGTAGCAACGTTAGCGGCGGATTCTTGCGACCGCAGAAACCGCGATGGGTCACGAGCTGCACCCCCTTCCCTCTCTTTCTATCTCTTTCCCCGGATGACCGCGCCGATCTGGCTTCGTCGGTAATTATTTATGTTGGCCGGTCTTCGCGCGAGATGGTAATTGAATTTGCGTCCGTAGAACGGCCGCTGACCGTAATTCGTCGACTGGTCAAAGGGAGAGAGGAAGACAGAGAAACGCAGACGATTAATACTACCTTAATTGTACTCGTCGCACGAACGAAACGTGGCTGCTAACGCGCTTAAAGAGCAATTGAAGTCTTTAGGGCAATCTTCGATCGCCTCGATATCTGAATAATGAAGCCCTGTCGCCGATTTTTGGGAGAAACGATGTGAGATATTTTACGAAGAGTACCCAGCTATTCGTTGGAAATTTCGTGGATGGATTAGAATGGTTCGTTAACGCGTAAATTGGTCGTAAGATAAATTTTGTGCTCTGCTTCGTGCGTTATAGAACATTATAAATGTTAAAGCACGCAGATACGTTTGATAAAACAAATGGCGATTTTAAAAAAACATGAAAACATCATTAATACATTTTTTTATGTCAAATCGCTTTCCTCTTAGTTTATGATATTTTTAGATAGTATACTGCGTTATAGGTCAGTAACTGTAGCGTTAAAAATGATTACTGGGCTGCGTTATTTATGTCCATCTATTCCTGTGACGACATCCCTCATCCAACGAAAACTGAGCGAAGAACCATGTCTAAGAACTAGAATTGATAGTTTGCAGCGGTGCCGAAGCATCGACCTAACCATCCTATAACTTATCTAAAATAAATTTACGTAACATCAGGCTGTCTCCGTTATATACTAAAAGTTGCAACATCGTCGACCAGTAACCTCGCGTAAAATAAATCTTCTCTTCTATAGTAAAAAAAATCCGAACACCCATGACAACCCTTGGAGTCAACTCGTACTTTTATCGCCCATAGAAAAATTTCGCTTTTCCCTGTGTTTACCGCCTAAAGGCGACGGCTACGTGACCGTAACGTAAAAGTCAGGCTCAAGGGTTTAGGACAGAGGAGCCGGGACTAATTCCCTTTCATACCGCGTGTCCCTACGCAAAGATAGATAAGAACCATATATGCGTACCGTGAACAACCATAAATACCACTCGTGGCCCTTTCCTCCTCGGCTTTCCCCCCCCGACCAAGCTTTCTTTCTTCTTTTCGTTTTTCAATGTTATCCGAGCGTGTACTCTGCCTCCTCTTCTCTTTTCTGTCTTTGTCTTTGCAATGGCAAACCAAGCAAAGAGGAGGCGGCCTCTGTTGCGAACCCCTCGAAGTAAGAGAGATACGCCACGGAACGGGGCGCGACATTTGCGATTCAAAGTGTTCGCAGCGGGGAAATGAAGATTAAGGGCGGAGGGTTTAAACGAACGAGAATTACGACACGTGTACTCGTGCAGTAGAGCACGAAGGGTGCTACGGATGATCTATAGCCGCCGCCCGACTCTTTTGTCCGGGTTCATTTTGTAAGTCAATATCGCAGCCAGAGGCAAAGAATCGACCTCGTACTTATAACGCTAACTGGACAGCGACTCGCGTTCCTCCAAGTGTTTCGCAAACGAACCGATTGACAGATTAATGAAATTGTTCGAATCGATCGTAGTTGGATTTTCGACCCCTTGTTATTGGGAATAAAATGTGTACTCTGCGCGATGTGTATTCTTGGCTGTTAAGGTTCTTATAGCGAATTTCTATAGATTATATCTATACATGTTCGATGATAATCGCATATACTCGTCACGGATATTTTTATTAGTTTTTCTAACTTGTCTTTATATGTTCATTACTATCGGATTGTTAATCTCGATTAGATCGTTACGAGGATATCGAAGATTGCGGATGAAGAAACCTAAAAGATATTGGTTTTCTTAAGAATAATATCGTAGCTGTATGTATACTTATCAGAGATGTTCTGATTATCTTTGTAACTTATATATGTCTGTTTTTTAGCGGTTTATCCATATGAAATTGAATCGTTGCATACTTAGTGAATTTTCATATTTGACATTTTTTTAAAACCTGTCCATCCGTTTTTCCAAGAATTCTTACAGGAATCGATCACAAATCGTTATTATCGATATAATTGTTCCAATTGTCTCTCACATTGTCGTACGTTGTAAACGAATTAAACAACGTTAACGAACAATTTACTTCAGAGTAATATCAGAAACAACGCTTGTTGGAAAAGTTCATAGAAGTATTAACAGCTATGTTTCTCTGTTTGCAGATAAATCTACGCCTCATTCTTGTCAGTGGTAAGACAAAAGAGTTCCTATTCAGTCCGAGCGACTCTGCGGGGGACATAGCGCACCATGTGTTTGAAAACTGGCCGGAAGGTACGTTTATTATTGGACTTGGTCCGAAGCGTGTAACGAATCTGTATTCGCTCGTTAATCAGCAGTATTCTACTTTTCCCGCAAAACGGTGCTTTCCAGCCGAATAATAAAAAACAAAACGATATAGAAGGAGGGTATATAAAATAAGATTCACGAAAATCAGACGATATTTGTCAACGACCGTCGTATCGTGTGTTCACGAGATAGTCATCCGAGATAATCGTGGAGAACAATGAACGCAAGACAGTCCGATTAAGCGTCCTGTCGCGTTAATTTATCACTCGAAACTTCCCTCGGCATGATGTGTCATCGAAATTCCCTTATCATCGAGAAACTCGATGGAAATGTCGCGTTTGTCAAGACTCGCTCCTACAATTATCCAAACAATATCCGGACAGTATATACCCAGCGTGATATATTAGAAGACCGTATCTTTCTATCGATAAATTAAACGTAGTTTATTGTTCATCCGCACTATACGATACTATTTTACGCCTGTATTTTCATCGTCTATCACTGTCCAGCCACGTGAGGCATGAAAGTGCCGGAATTGAAAACACTCGCAGAAATATATAGGCCGTGAAACATCGCTATTCATCGTGAGATATATCAGGAGCACCGAGTACAATTCAATTAGGCATGGAAGAACGCGAGATGGTGAAACGAAAAATTTCGAAACACAGTGAGAAATTTGTTACCGTGATTTATCGCGCAACGAGATTTTCCTAAAAATTATGCCTGGTATAAAAGAATGAATAGCGAAAGGGAATTGATTGATGAGCGAAGTTTCGAATACACGAATATTATTTCTGTTATACTTTTATTATGTTTTATGAATGCTTTGATAGATTAACGAAGATAATTCGTTAATTGAAGAGATTCGTTTTATTGAAAATTCGTCAGTTTCACGAAATTTATGCCACGTTGTAAGAATATAGAAAGCATAAAAGTTTTATCGTTGGTATAAGAAAGCGATCGATACTTCTGCGACAATCATCGTTAAGCCTATTAATTACATTCATCATTACTCGGTTTTAATTTTAATCGTCGTTTAGTAAAACCAATTTGAATTCAAGTACTTTAGTGAAAAAGAAATTCCATAGAATGTCCCTAATTGAAAGTCAAATGTTGAACATCCAATGCTATATATGAAATTTCCTTTTTATTGTTACTATCTTATCGCTTTTTCTAAAGCGTAGAAAGAAACAAAGCCACATGAGATATCTCGGCAACTAATATTACTAATTTCAATAAGCTTAAGTGAAAGAAAACCATCGAACGGTATAACTGGTAAAAAGGTGATCTAAATTCTTCCTTTAGCTTTATTTTTATTTTAGCATTTCTTTGCCCTCCTTTCTTTATGAACACATGATCCTCTTATACACATAGACGTTACTTACTCTTACATCGAAACAGAAGAGAAACAAAATTGGCTTGGCCTTTGTCTTCGTGCTTTAAATACTGTAAAAGGCGAATCAAGTGGACTTCCATTCTTCTAAGTAGCGTGTTTCAATGCAAATCTCTGGGATACTTGGCAAGTAACCCGTTTAATATTAAAATGCATTCAGCGACCGCATCTTCTGCTATCTCGAATTGTCGCGCCAGAATTACTTTGGTCCTGAATGGCAGGAAAGAAAAGTTGCATTACCGTTAATACAGTTTCATCAACTTAGGTGGCATTGCTCGGAAGTCCCCTAATTACCTGCCTTAAATTTCCGGTATGTTACATTGTGGTCTAATTATTGTACCTTTCATGGAAATCTTCTTTTCTCCTCGATATTTCATTCGATATTTCATTATTACGTGGAATTATGTGCACGTATTATGTATCTATGTATATCAGTTTGTCTTGTGTTTCGTTATAATTTATTATTCATTTCCCCTTTCGTTATACTTGCTAGAATCATCCTCTGATAGAATTAAAAGTTTTACACTAATTGTGTAATAATATTCAAAAATGCTCATAACACCAAATATATATAACTGTTTAAACACTATAGAATTTAAAAGAACCATTCGAAGGGACAAAAGTAATTTCTATTTTTAATTTCTAGTTCGAGACTACTACAATTCTTTGCGCATCTTTAACGCTAGAACTACTAGAAGCTAAAGTATAAAAATTGTACTAAGGAAATCAAACTCAAAGGTACATAAAAAATCACATGATGGAAGGGAAGATTTTACCAAACATCATTCAAATACCCAACAACGCACTGTTGTAAATCTATTTCCCATGAAAAATTATCATTATTGATCATTGTTAACTACAGTTGACCCTTGAACAACGCATGGATTATAGGCACAGACACTCCTCATAGTCGAAAATCCACCTATGATATTTGATTCTCTGGAAACAGCTATGTCTGTACGCATATGTATATAACAGTCTACTGAAAATTTCATTTTCCCCCACATATGTACATACACGTGTTATTGCTGTATTCTCGTAATAAAAGAAATAAAAAAGAAAGAAAATGTTATTAAGAAAATTATAAATATACATATAAGAGAAAATACATACACATATACAACATATACATACTAATATATACTTATATTATTTATACATATATTATATTTATACTGTGCTGATGTGACGATCGACACACGGCTGATCTCACGCAACGTCAATAATATGAGCATAGTCTGACGCGGTCGTCTTTTTTTTTAAATGCTCTTCATCAGACATCTGGTTTGTTACAAAGTTATGGTTTATTACGCGGATTATGCGAGTAAATATGTATCTCCTACAACAACTAACCGAGAAAATAATCCGCGTATAACCAATTTCTCGTTGTTTGACGGTCAACTGTACTCTGGTAGTTCTAGTGTTAAGAAACCCAAAGCTACAAGTCCATTACAATCCGCCAAATACCTTGAAGAAACACGTCGCGCCATGTCACAACCTTATCCTTCACAATAGAGCCTCTCCAATTCCCTGTGCGTTCTATTCCGTGCTCTGTTACATCGTCGTCGAGTAAATCCAGACGACGAACGGTCGAAAGAAAGTCGAGGGAAGGTTCACGTTCACGGAACGTGTGCCAGGAACCGGCTGATGGGATTATCAACGCGAAGCTTCCGCGTTTTCCGGTACAGCGGGCGCAGTTATATTTTTTCCCCGCTTCGTCGTCGTCGACTCGGCCGGTGAAAAACGTTGAAAATATTCGAGGCAAGGTCGTAGCTCCGATATCTACTGGCGTCCATTTCTTTTTTCTCTTTGTCTTTTCAGATTGGGCGGAAGAGGCAGTCGCTAAAGCGGAGATCCTGCGGTTAATCTACCAGGGACGTTTTCTGCACAGCAATGTTACGCTCGGTGCTCTTGGGCTTCCTTTCGGGAAAACCACGGTGATGCATCTGGTCCCACGAGAGAACCTTCCCGAGCCTAATTCTCAAGGTAAATCATCGAACAGCCGGTACCGTGTTTACCCTTTCGGGGGTG